AGTGGACTAGACTGGCAACGCCCAAATGTTGACATGCATCATCCTCCATCTGCATTCGAGTTTACTCTCTCAGCATACTTGCAAATGAGATGCATTTCTTGAGATTTATTATTTAGATGTGCATTTATGATCCTGTCATTGATTGCTAGCTTAATGCGTCATGCTTTCTGTCTGACTGCTTTAAATCTGTCAGATCATTGGGAGATTGATTTTATGGTCAGTTATGGGCAATTGATATTTTTCTGGGATGGTAAGCTGTATGTAAACTGTCAGTAGATCTCTAGAGATTAAAAGGAGGCTACAGTATTTTTGTAAAAGACCATTTATGTTCACTGAATCATGTCCTTATTAAATTCAGGGATAAGTGAACAAAAATGTGTCTTTTTCCCTCTAGACGAAGACCTGTCTAATATCAAGCATCTGGTATATTTCAATCAAGCGTTTGATTTTAACCTTTTTTTTGTCTCTGAATGATTTGAAGGCAGATTTCCTGAAAGGTCTACCTGTGTATAACAAGACAAACTTCAGCAGATTTCACGCCGACTCTGTATGTAAAGCATCGGTAAGGTTTGCTGTTTTACGGTGCTCTTTGTGAGCTGTTAACATCATCTTTCTGCATATTCACTGAGCGTTATCACACCGCGGTTGTGAATTATAGTGTCAGGTTTTGTTCAAATCATTAACAGTCCATTTTTTTTTCTCTTTCAGAACAGAAGGCCATCAGTATATCTGCCTACACGAGAGTATCCTTCCGAACAGAGTGAGTGCTTGTGTTGTACAAATGTAGACCTGTATTACATAATAAAAATTCAACTGAATGATTCTCGCAAAACGCAAATCTTTAGAGGTTTTCTCTCTCCTCACAGTCATCGTCACAGAGAAGACAAACATCCTTCTGCGTTATCTTCATCAACAGTGGGACAAAAAGGCAAGTGTTCTTCAAGCTCTAATTTGACAGAGCAAATGCATGTTGATGGATAAATCGACTCATAACATAAAAACTCAAAGATAATACATTGTCAGAATATTAAAGCTCTCCCCTTATGTGTAATTGAATGTACACTGTGTCCTAACCAAATGCAAAACATGATGTATCTTTTCTATGTTCGTTAGAAGACAGAGTTTTTGTCCTAAGCAGCCACCGCAGCTTCAATTTTAGAAATGGTTTCTATTTATGCAACGTCACGGCTGGAACAGTAGCATACAGGTGCATCTCAATAAATTAGAATGTCGTGGAAAAGTTCATTTATTTCAGTAATTCAACTCAAATTGTGAAACTCGTGTATTAAATAAATTCAATGCACACAGACTGAAGTAGTTCAAGTCTTTGGTTCTTTTAATTGTGATGATTTTGGCTCACATTTAACAAAAACCCACCATATGGTATAGAATATGGTGACATGCCAATCAGCTAATCAACTCAAAACACCTGCAAAGGTTTCCTGAGCCTTCAAAATGGTCTCTCAGTTTGGTTCACTAGGCTACACAATCATGGGGAAGACTGCTGATCTGACAGTTGTCCAGAAGACAATCATTGACAATCTTCACAAGGAGGGTATTTGAGTTGAATTACTGAAATAAATGAACTTTCTGATAATCTCAGGTACTGAATAAGTGCTTTATTTCATGTAAAAAAAAAGATATATATATATATTTAAAATATGACTTAATATTTTAATTACAGTAAATTTTTAATTTGAAATTGTTGTATTATTCTTATTCATGGTGTTCTGGCCTATATTTGTTTAAAAATCTTATATAAAATGAATTTACACAGAGAAGCGAAAATACAAAATCCCTCATTAGTCATAATGTTGATGTAGGACTTGAATGAACAAATTAATTTGTGCTTTGTTACTGTATATGAAATGCACATAGAAAATACAAAATACAGGAAAAGAAATGCAAAATAAAAGGAAAAGAATGTAGAGGTTCGCTTTCCTGCGGGACAAAACACAAATGAGTGCAATGTGGGACTAGTTTGGAATTGCTGAGTGGGCAGGAAGTGGAAAAAATAAATGCCTTTTGGGACTCCTGCAAAATATAAATATCTAAAAATAAAAGATATTCAAATTTATGTTTTAAGGTACAGAATCATACTGAAACGAAACTGAAAAATCGGCGTAGATGACAAAATGTAAACATAGCGAGCGGGAAGAAATAACTTATTTTTAGCAGAAACGAGACTGAAAAATCGTTCCTGCATAAACTTCTAGCTACTGGAAAGATCATATACTTTTTATGTCTTGCAGAATGCAGCTAAAAAGCGAGAGCAGGAGCAAGCGGAGGGGGAAGGTGGCAGCCCAGCGCCTCCCCGCAAAATCGCCCGGACAGACAGCCAGGAGATGAACGAGGACTCGTAGAGGAACCCACCATCCAACAGCACAAGAACGGACACAACAAGCCCAAACACCACACAGGAATTTCATCTCAGAAAGAAAGAAATGGAAGAACACTTCTCTTACAGTGTGCTTTTTTTTATTTTACTGAGTGCTTCCGGATGCAGTCAGTGCCCTGTTCTAAACGTGTGTGGCGCGACAGGTTTCCACTACCAGCTTTGACGATTCTGCTGAACTTCGAGGGGGGGGAATTCAACAAGCACATAAGAATGAATCTCTGCTATGAAGACGTGTGTGAAAATTGATTTGTTATGACACTATTAATGCAGTGTAAAAGTTGAAACACACTCTAGTAATCTCAGCTGTGAATTACCACTTTCATGATGTACTCAGAACACAGGCACTAAACACACAGGCATCTCTTCAGCGTCCAAAAAGGGAAATTTCGGAAATGTACAGGCACGTTTGGCAGATTTAGATGTAGTATTTGGTGTTGGTAACGTGACAGTCTTCCTAGCAGGTGCATACTTGTGCATGAATGCACTGTTGGGTCTGTTTTTCTGTTGTCACAGGTTGAGGATGACGTTACTGGTGATGTAAAGAAATACAAATGTCAGTCTCTTTCACTTCCCCCGTTGTCACGTAGGTTTCCAGTGCTGTGTTCGTTCCAGAATCATAAACAGATTACTTGCCTTCAGATGCCTGACTCCTTCTCTGACTTGATCCCTGAGCGCTGATTCACTTGCAGTCTGTTTGCCGTCTAAATATGATGGGAGTTTTTCCCAGGTTGGAGTTTAATAGTGTCTCTCCTTTGTTTGGATTTAAGTAGTTTAATTTTGGAGCTCTGAGATTTAAGGTGCAGCTATGCAGCAGTTGCAGCTATGCAACTCTTAACCTGTAGAGGGCGTCGGTGAGCTGTGGTACAATACTCTGGAGGAGCTCTACACATGAGGTTTAATACTCTCAGGCAGTGTGCTTTGAGTCCACAACATGCAATGTGGCTGGAGACATGATGTGAGGTTAAGTCAGCTGTTTCAAGCCATTTCCTGGCAAAGTTTGTTGGTTTGTTCTTGTTGAAAAGATTGAAATGTGTTGAAGCTATTGAGGTTATTAACAAAACAATGCATGCAAAATGTTTTGAGTAAAGAAAGCTTTTAAAACCTCTTGAAGGGGAAGTGTGCAGAGAGCAGTGCAGCTATGCAACTCTTAACCTGTAGAGGGCGTCGGTGAGCTGTGTTACAATACTCTGGAGGAGCTCTCTCTACACATGAGGCTTAATACTCTCAGCCAGTGTGCTTTGAGTCCACAACATGCAATGTGGCTGGAGACATGATGTGAGGTTAAATCAGCTGTTTCAAGCCATTTCCTGGCAAAGTTTGTTGGTTTGTTCTTGTTGAAAAGATTGAAATGTGTTGAAGCTATTGAGGTTATTAACAAAACAATGCATGCAAAATGTTTTGAGTAAAGAAAGCTTTTAAAACCTCTTGAAGGGGAAGTGTGCAGAGAGCAGCCCATCTTGAGTCTAAATCTGGTTAGAAGAGTTACAGCATTACTTACCGCAATTACACCTGCATTTTTAAGTTCTTGTTCTTATGAAGCCTTCCCAATTTCTATGTTCGAGGTCGACATTTTTTTTAATTTTTTTTTTGAGAATCAATAAAAATGAGATTACAAATGTTTTGTGTTGAGCCATACTGAATGTAGATTTCAAGGTAATTCATAAAAAAATCAAGACAATAGATGGAGGTTGCTAGCCAGTGCATGTTTTCAGTGAGGCTGTAACAGCATATGCTCAACAGGTGTAATCCGCTTTAATCTGGATTTTTTACTGCGGCCATGTAGATTTGGAAGATAGGGAGTGAATGAAAGCGAAAAACAGTCGTTGTTGCTCTTTTAATTATTATTATAGGTTTTACATCAAATTAAGGCCATGTAGATTTGGAAGATAGGGAGTGAATGAAAGCGAAAAACAGTCATTGTTGCTCTTTTAATTATTATTATAGGTTTTACATCAAATTAAGTCTTTAAATGATCTTTAAAGTAATTTAATTACGTGGAAAGAGATTCTATTTGGATTTGATTATTGGATTGAGGGTAGCAGATTACCAACCCACAATTTCATTACACTGGGAAGAGAAGCTACTGGAGTAAACAATCCAGCTTTTTCATGTATCAGGAACATCGATAATCAGGTAAAATATTGCACTGTACAGGTTGTGAAGGAATGTATTTATTTGTCATCAAAAATTGGAGGCAGCCTACAAGGCCAAAGCCTTAACTAAAGGAAACTTTAGTTCCAAGCTGTGATGCAACTAATTAAAATGCGTTGAAAATTATTCACTCAATTATTTACATGAGATTTTTTCTTGGCAGCTATAGTTAAAAAAAACTCTTCCATTATCTACTTGAATGCATAAGTATAGAATGTTACAAAGTAAACACCATGTTAATTTTGAATCCAACAGCGAGCGTTTGATTAATTGCATCATAAAAACCAGTGTCATTTTTACTATCTATCACATTTAAAATAGATCCAACCACCTGTTATGAAGACCAGTGCACTAATGCACATTGAGAAGGAAAAAAAAAGCTTCTTGCACTTAGTTTGGTTGTCAAGTTTTTTTTAATATACTTTTAATGTATATTATTTCAAAATCCTTGTAAGGAAATTTTGAGGCACAATTAGTTTGCCATACATGTTAAGATAATTTAATGATAAACAATGCTATTTATGGTATTGATGTTAGTATATTGTCCGATAGTGATCCTAACAAGATATATTTTGGAGTTTTGAGTTTTGGGAAGGGAATAATATATTTCGCACCCTGAAATAGAATATAATTCATGGAGTTGCTAGAAGGTGCCATAATTCTGTGCTCCTACGAGAATGGCTAATAGGCCTGACAGCAAAGTACTATATTTGGAGCAAAAACAAACCAACATGCAACTTCTAACATCAAGAGACATTAGTCAGGTTAGACACCATATTGAATTAAACATTTATAAAAACGAGAGTTACAGTTTTTGCGATGGCATGCACTGTATAAGTCCTAGATCACGTAATTTTTACAACTTCTGTGCAGTGTTTGTTGACATTCCGTTTACTTGTTAAACAATACTACATTCCATTGAACGCACTGTATTTCTATCGCTCACTGTCTCGTTTTCATTCCTGTCAAAAATTAAATATGGCACTACCCTGACTTAAGTCTACGTTGGCGGCAAAATCATGCTCTGGCGCACTTTTTGACAAGAGGAACTGGGTAGCTTGTACTCAACACGTGGATAATTGATCTGCCAAACTGATGTGTGGCAATTCAAATTTGCCAAAGCCTATGTACTAAAGCACTGAATATTTGAGAACCCAAATGTACTTCATATTTCCCCAGGTGTTCACTATGCTCACCAGCTTTGTGGATGGAATATTCTGTTGCTTTACAGGGAAGTCTACTAACGTTGTGGTCCCTATTGAGTCTTCCGAGCCCACCGATGGTTTTGAATTTGTTGAGGTAAAGCCAGGAAGGGTTCTGAGAGTTCGGCATATTACCCCAGACAGACCAGTGGTTGAGGAGCCAGGGACTGGGGAAGGGGGTACGGTCAGCTGCAAGCGCAAAATCTCAGTGTATAGAAATGGACAGCTTCTGATCGAGAACGTCAGTGAAGCCACCCATCCAGAATTGGTCCGCTATCAGAATGGAGACAGCACTGTGGATACGGATGTTTCCAATTGTGAGGCTCCCCCAGCAGCTCAGGCTTCTGAACACACACCGGGGTCGGCAACCACAGGACAGGCTATGGATAGCAAACCTGCACCTCAGCAGAATCTGCAGCAAGTGCAGCGCAGACGGCGCAAACCCAAATGCTCCATTGACTGTGAGCGGAAGATCACATGCTGCAAAGGTACTCACCCTGATGTGGCCTTGTTTTTCATTCATGGAGTTGGGGGGTCGTTGGATATCTGGGGAAGCCAACTGGACTATTTCTCCCAACTTGGTTACGAGGTCATTGCCCCAGACTTGGCTGGCCATGGTGCAAGTTCAGCTCCTCAGATTCCCACTGCCTATACCTTTTACACTTTGGCTGAGGACGTTAGGATCATCTTCAAGCGATATGCAAAGAAGCGTAATATTTTAGTAGGACACTCTTATGGGTAAGAAAATTTATGCCTTTGCCTGATAAATGCAGATACATTTCCTTTCTTGTTTTAGCATTTTCTTTCTTGTCTTGCAGTGTCTCGTTTTGTACCTTCTTGGCTCATGAGTATCCGGAACAAGTTCATAAAGTTGTGATGATTAACGGTGGAGGTCCTACAGCACTCGAGCCCAGTCTCTGCTCTGTCGTCAACTTGCCCACGTGTGTCCTTAATTTCCTGTCCCCGTGCCTCACCTGGAGCTTTCTCATGTAAGAATAATGGTCCACAGGACACATTTGTCATTGCCTTGCCCTTTGCCAGCTTGAACATGAGTGTCTATGTTTCGCAACTACCTTGTTAATTTAATTAAATAGTTTTAGCAAAATCCTAGAATATACTACAGCCGTGGCCAAAAGTTTTGAGAATGACACAAATATTAATTTTCACAAAGTTTGCTGCTACAGTGTTTTTAGATCTTTTTGTCAGATGTTACTATGGTATACTGAAGTATAATTACAAGAATTTCATAAGTGTCAAAGGCTTTTATTGACAAATACAATAAGTTTATGCAAAGACGTATTTGCAGTGTTGACCCTTCTTTTTCAAGACCTCTGCAGTTCGCCCTGGCATGCTGTCAATCAACGTCTGGGCCACATCCTAACTGATGGCAGCCCTTTCTTGCATAATCAATGCTTGGAGTTTGTTAGAATTTGTGGGTTTTTGTTTGTCCACCCGCCTCTTGAGGATTGGCCACAAGTTCTCAATGAGATTAAGGTCTGGGGAGATTCCTGGCCATGGACCCAAAATTTTGATGTTTTGTTCCCCGAGCCACTTAGTTATCACTTTTGCCTTATGGCAAGGTGTTCCAGCATGCTGGAAAAGGCATTGTTCATCACCAAACTTTTCTTGGATGATTGGGAGTTTGCCTTATGGCAAGGCGCTCCATCATGCTGGAAAAAGCATTGTTCATCACCAAACTGTTCTTGGAAGGTTGGGAGAAGTTGCTCTCGGAGGATGTTTTTGTACCATTCTTTATTCATGGCTGTGTTCTTAGGCAAAATTGTGAGTGAGCCCACTTCCTTGGCTGAGAAGCAACCCCACACATGAATGGTTTCAGGATGCTTTACTGTTGGCATGACACAGGACTGATGGTAGCGCTCACCTTTTCTTCTCCGAACAAGCTTTATTCCGAATGCCCCAAACAATCAGAAAGGGGATTCATCAGAGAAAATGACTTTACCCCAGTCCTCAGCAGTCCAATCCCTGTACCTTTTGGAGAATATCAGTCTGTCCCTGATGTTTTCCTGGAGAGGAGTGGGTTCTTTGCTGCCCTTCTTGACACCAGGCCATCCTCCAAAAGTCTTGGCCTCACTGTGAATGAATTAATGAGCACCCCCTGCTGGCCTCACTAACACCTCTTCCAGCAGCAACCTAGTTTTCCCAGGAGGTCTCCCATCCAGGCTGCCCTTCTTGACACCAGGCCATCCTCCAAAAGTCTTGGCCTCACTGTGAATGAATTAATGAGCACCCCCTGCTGGCCTCACTAACACCTCTTCCAGCAGCAACCTAGTTTTCCCAGGAGGTCTCTCATCCAGGTACTGACCAGCTCAACCCTGCTTAGCTTCAGTGGGCAACCAGTCTTGGGCTGCAGGGTGATATGGCTGCACACTGTGTGTGCAGATGCTCTCACACCTGCCTGCTGCCATTCCTGAGCAAGCTCTGCACTGGTGGTGCCCCGATCCCACAGCTGAATCAACTTTAGGAGACGGTCCTGGCGCTTGCTGGACTTTCTTTCAGGTGCCCTGAAGCCTTCTTCACAGCAATTGAACCTCTGCCCTTGAAGTTCTTGATGATCCGATAAATGATTTATTTAGGTGCAAGCTTACTAGCAGCATTATCCTTGCCTGTGAATCCCTTTTTGTGCAAAGCAATGATAACGGCACATGTTTCCTTGCAGGTAACCATAGTTAACAGAGGAAGAACAATGATTTCAAGCACCACCCTCCTTTTAAAGCTTCCAGTCTGTTATTCTAACTCAATCAGCATGACAGAGTGATCTCTAGCCTTGTCCTCATCAACACTCTCACCTGTGTTAATGACAGAATCGCTGACATGATGTCAGCTGGTCCTTTTGTAGCAAGGCTGTAATACAGTGGAAATGTTTTTCAGATTAAGTTAATTTTCATGGCGAAGAGGGACTTTGCAATTAATTGCAATTCATCTGATCACTCTTCATAACATTATGGAGTATATGCAAATTGCCATAATAAAAACTGAGGCAGCAGACTTTGTGAAAATTAATATTTGAGTCATTCTCAAAACTTTTGGCCACGGCTGTATACAGATTTTTGCCCTGATTTACAGTCAGGACAAGTTGACGCTAATTGCCAAAAGCCAGAACCAGTCTGTAGATTTGAGTAAATAGTATTCACAGAAAATTGTTGTGTATGATGGGCACAGACTCCAGTTTGTCGGTGGCCATCATACACCTATACCAGAGGTCTTCAATCCTGCTCTTGGGGACCCAATGTCCTGCAAAGGTGTTTGATTAGGGTTGTGGATAAACTCAGTGGGACAGTGGGTCCCTAGGAACAGGGTTGAAGACCTCGATTTTCTATGAAATTTGTCAACTGAAACCTGCAGACTGGCTCTAAATTTCACAATTAGCAGGCTGTAAATTGGGGCAAAAATCTTGGCAAAAGTTGTAGTGTATTCCAGCCTTTTAGTTGCCTTTTAGTTCAAATTTCTAAACTGGACTATTGAAATAAAGTATATACCACATTTGTCCTTGCCTTGTTCTTTGCCAGCTTGATCATGAGTATCTATGTCTGGCAATCACAGTAGTTTTTAACTAATAAAATATGCCTTTTTCTGTCTTCAAGGGCTGGATTTGCCCATCAGGGAACGAGAGAAAAGAAACTACTAAAAGAGAATAATGCCTTCAACGTGTCTTCCTTCGTTTTACGGTCCATACCAAATGGTGAAACAAAAAATTAATGGAACACCATACATAAATATATTCTGCAAACGTGTTTTGTATTAACACTTCAAAGTTTGAATATGAATCTTCCAATTTATCTCCATTACTTTCAATACATTTCACACAAAAACGTTTATGGTTTGAATACCTCTGCTCTAAACTAGAATATGGAAATAACTTTTACTGTTACCTTCTGATCAGATGACATGTAGCCTGGATTTACAGGCACACAAACTGAATTTTGCAGAAGCAGAGAATTTTCAGTATGTAAATGAACCACAGTTTTTTTGGCAAGCAAGACGAGCCGATATAAAGAAAGACAAAGTCAGAGGCTGTTTTGGAGGCTTTTATTTGCATACTCAATTGCTTTTTACTTCAAAGGAATGAAGCGGGAAGAATGAGTGGCTCCAATACCTGGACGACCGTGTTTAACAGGCTTGTATGTGATGGAGAACTCTCCAAGGTAATGACCAATCATCTCAGGCTGAAAAGAGACAAAATTATACAAACCATTAGCTATCAAAATCACTGCGTATTCATTCCTTAATAAAACACATCAGCCGTATTTAGAGGCTTAGTGGGACACAGAGTCCTTGACTTTACAGCAAAGCCACAAAAAGCAGCACTGACACATGAGCATTTTAACTGCATGCTTCATCCCTACCTTGATTTCAACCTGGTTGAAGGTCTTGCCGTTGTACACGCCGACCATGGATCCAACCATCTCCGGCAGGATGACCATGTCTCTCAGGTGAGTCTTCACCACCTCTGGTTTCTCCATAGGAGGCGCCTCCTTCTTGGCCTTGCGGAGGCGCTTGAGGAGAGACTGCTGCTTCCTCCTGAGGCCCCGGTTCAGCCTCCTCCTCTGTCTGGCACAGTAGAGCTGCATCAGCTGCTCGCTGAGGAACACACACACACACACACACACACACACCGGCTTAATCAACATTTCTACACAAGCATCATCAGATCACTGATGACAAAACCTTCATTCACGAGGTAGGCTTACGCAAGACTGTTAAAGTTCAGGTTACAATAATGAAACATGTTTATTTCAAGTTAAAAGAATATAAGAACATTCAAAGCTGATTGATCACATTTAATTGCTTCCGGTCTGTCACAAAAAAAACAATGAGAATTGAGCTGCGGTAGAGGGAAATATTAAATTATAATAGATTTGTATTGAATTTGAATTACAAAAGTAGTGGTACAACAAGTAATACAGACTACATTTATACATCTACAAATTAAGGCCTAAAAAGTCATGGAATTAAATATCACATGCACTGCAAAACAATCTTAGTATTTTATAGTTTCCCAATACAAATATCCTTAAATCATGATGCATTTACTTGAGATGCAGATTATATGAAATCTGAACAAAATTACGCAATTTTATGCTTAAAACAAGAACAAATGTGTCAATAGGGAATTAAATCTTTTTTTAACCCACTGACAAGATTTTTTTTTTCTTTTTTTAACCATAAACTCACTTCATTTTGTACGTCATTTTGCTTCTCTAGTGTTTGTAGGCATTTGCACTGGAAACAAGTCAAATATACTGATTAATAACATACCTTTTTTTTTGCAGTGCTATCAGAAGGTAATGTAAAAGTTATTTCTATATTCTAGTGGCTTGGATAAGCAATGGAGATCTGTTGCAACCAAATTATATTTTCAAGTTTTAAAGTATTGCTAACAGACACATTTATTGACATGTGTTCTATTCAATTTATTCTTTAATATTTTTTTGCATCTGGTCATTAAAAAGTCCAACATTTACCTTCATAAAACCATCAGAAACCCTGCGTTATACAAGACAGATCAGCGCGAATATGATGTTTCCCTCACAAGAATGTTATTACATTACAAAACATGGGCCGAGTAATTTCCACTGCCATTTTGAGTAAATTATTTCTTGCTTCTCCATGGAAGCCCCTTTCCGCCACTGAATAAAAAATAAAAAACGTAATTGCAACTTTATCTCACAATTCAGAATTGCGAGTTTATATCTCGCAATTCTGACTTTATGTAACCCCTCTCTCCCGGGTCCTCACCGCCACACCTCGTTCTCGTTCCGAGTGGGTCTCCAGCATGGGAGGCAGACGCACTAACAAGGAGGCTAAAGACTGCAGCCTCTAGTGCGTCTCTTGAGATCAGGGGAGTGAGGTTTTACCTGCACAGCACCTACCGCTGGCCTCCGTTACACTCACCCCCCCTAACCACAACGGAAGACCGCCTCTCCATTCATTCGATTGGACAATGGGAAAAAAACGTGAATGACGTCGGGGGTTTACCTGCACAGCACTTACTCGCTGGCCTCCGTTACATTTACAACTCGCAATTGTGTTTATAACGCAATTCTGAGAAAAAAAAGTCAGAATTATGAGTTCATATCTCGCAATTCTGACTTTACAACACGCAATTGTGTTTATATCGCGCAATTCTGAGAAAAAAAAGTCAGAATTGTGAGATAAAAAGTCGCAATAACCTTTTTTTTTTGTTTGTTTTATTCAGTGGCGGAGACGGGCTTCCACACTTCTCTCCTCTCTCACACATCCCCTGAAGATTTTGACAGGACAGAGGTTTGACTCACTAGGACATGTCCAGCAGCTGGTCCAGATCCACACCTCTGTAGGTGAACTTCCTAAAGGTGCGCTTCTTCTTCTGCTCTGCGTCCGCCTGAGGGAAACACAACCACCGACAGCAGCTATTGTCAGGCCTTTACTTAACCGATAGCGTGCTGAATAATAAACAGACGCGGAGTAATAAAATAAATACACTCCTGCTAAATCTCACGTTAAAGATACGCAGAAACATAAGAATAAACTTGAGAATCCATCACGCTTGATTTAGTACAGCGCGAAGCTGCTAATCGTACGAATATCTATATAAACATTCGTCCCAGGCGAAAAATAATGGCCTGAAAGCGTGCATTATCTCTTCAATAAGCTTTATTCATATTTTCTACTCTGCTTTGCTTTATATTTACAGTAGATTCGATTGGATTATTGTAGTTTTGTTATTCACAAATGAGACGTGAACCTACCATCTTGAGAGACTCCCGGAAAAGGAAGACAGCAGGAGAGACGCGGTAATATCGCGAGAGTTCAGGGAATATTTATGGGGAGTGTAGTAAGTCGCCCACTAGCGGAGAGGAGGATGAAAGAATTATTTTACTTCGACATCAAATGGTGAGGGTTTTATTTTTAGAGAAAATTAACGAGTCAACTTGTCAGTTTTTATTTTAACCGATCGGTTCAAACAAAGCACTAAATGCACTGTAGTACTGTATAGGTCAGTAGGGTTTTCTTTGGTAAAGAAATTAAGACTTTAATTTAGCAAGGATGCATTAAATTAAACAAAAGTGACAGTAAAGACATTTATAGTTAAATAATATATTTCAAATAAATGCTTTTGTTTTAAACTTTTTCATCAAAGAATCCTGAAAAACGAATCAAGGTTTCCACAAAAGTATTCAAAAGCAAAAAAATCTCGATTGAAACTTAAGATTTAACGAACTTAGCCTTTATAAAAATATATAGGCCTACATAGGCTATATATTTACACATAATACAGGCTATGTAGTTCAAACATAATTTATTATGCATTCAGCATTAATGATCTCATATTGTGAAAATACATACACTATTCATACTTAATTTTGCAAACTCAGTGAAGATAAATGTGATTAAAAGCGTAAAGACCGCCTGAGACGTATAGCCTACTTTCCCTTATACAATCCTGCAAAAATGTATCATGTTTCTTGAGAAACAAATCATATTAGAATGATTTCTGAAGGGTCATGTGACACTGAAGATTGGAGTAATGATGCTGAAAATTCAGCTGCGCATCACAGGAATAAATTACATTTTACAATATATTCAAATAGAAAACAAGTTATTTTACTTTTGCATGGTACATTCAAGTCAGTTTTATGATTTCTGGTACATGCACTATATGTTTATATATAAACATACTCATTATATTAGTCTTGATGAAAATCTAAGTGAGTTCAATTATATATATATATATATATAAATATGTGACCCTGGAGCACAAAAGCAGTCTTAAGTCGCTGGGGTATATTTGTAGCAATAGCCAACAATACATTGTATGGGTCAAAATTATAGATTTTTCTTTTATGCCAAAAATCATTAGGATATTAAGTAAAGATCATGTTCCATGAAGCTATTTTGTAAATTTTTTACCGTAAATATATCAAAACTTAATTTTTGATTAGTAATATGCATTGCTAAGAACTTCATTTGGACAACTTTAAAGATGATTTTCTCAATATTTGGATTTTTTTGCACCCTCAGATTCCAGATTTTGAAATAGTTGTACCTCAGCCAAATATTGTCCTAACAAACCATACATCAATGGAAAGCTTATTTATTCAGCTTTCAGATGATGCATAAATCTCAATTTCCGACAATTGACCCTTATGACTGGTTTTGTGGTCCAGGGTCACATATTATATGTTGTTGACATAAAATACTTTTGGGAAGTTGATGTCCTGTGCCCATGCTGCTCTCAATAGTTATTATACATTCAGCTTTCATGACCTCATATTTTTAGACTACATAAAATGTTCATATTTAATGCTGCAAACCTAGTAAAGCCAAAAAGGTGTTAAAAACATCTCATACATCCAGGACGTGTTATATGTGAACTGTAATATATTTACAGTAATATAATACTGGGATGATGACATACTATACAAAACCGTGGACATTGCACTTCTTTTAATATTTGACAAGTTCATGTTGAAACAGATGGATGGAAAGTCTTGCATTCATGTAAATTTAAAAGCAATTAAAACATCACCTCAATGAATCTGCACAACACGTTTTATTTAAATCATTTATTTCAAATAAACTCTCATTTTTGTGTGTTTTTTTTCTTTTTTGCATAAGTGCAAAGTGCACCAACAGCCACCTGAGGGAAGTCTACATCCTTAAAATAAAAACAAGAAAAGCGCACATATATTAGTATAAAATTCTTTTAAAAAATT